TTGCAAGGATTTCAGACCAACTGGCCAGTCATCAAAGAACTTGGCAGCTTTTTAATCTTGTTTTTTATTACAATAGTATATCCATTCTGATGACAAACCTGTCCTGCCAAATCTCTACAACACACTTCGTAAAGTCAGTGCTGAGCACATTAGTTAGCTTTGGCACAGAGCTGTGCTGGCTTTCCTGTGACAGCCTGGAAACTTGTTTTGTACTTGCAACAGAATATTGAGAATAAGTTTGTCACTGTAAGACGTAGAGTGTCCTTCAGGTTTGTGTCTGGTGATCAACATGTGTGACAAGTAAAGTGTTTCCTCATATATCTTTTGAAGACTTTTTCTGTTTCTGTTGGAATCTTCTTTGATTACAAGTTGGTTATTACCATCTATAGAACCACTTGTACCCAATTAAGCCAACAAAAATGCAAGGAGATGTTTGGGCTGATGATGTAATAGTTTACAGATATCTGTAAAGTTGACAAAATAAGTTTTCTTAGTTCCTACTCGAATGACCTGTGGAGGTTTGATGACAAATTTCCTTTTCTCTTCTGCAAACATGTCTGGCTTCTTTTCCCTCATGGTGTTGAACACTTTCTTCAGTAGCTCCTCATGTGTAATCTCTTTCTGAGCCCACCCTAGCAGGGACTGTATTGTTACTGAATGAGATACCGTCATCTTTTTTGCTGTCTTCATCTGCTAGAGCTTTGTCTTTCTATAGTATTTCATACTTACCTGGGAACTTGGTATTCTTATTTTTCTTCTTTTTATTGCCTAGCATAATAATTAAGGTCATACTCCAGTTCAGCTGGTTCTTGAATATCACTTTCAATCTTAAGATCCTTTATACCTTCTTCTGCTTCATCAGTATCAAATATCTTTATGTTTTCCTTTTTTTTCTTTTGATTAAAGAAGTTCAAGTCATCTAGATCATCAGAAGCATCTTTTTCTCTACTGTTGTCTTTATCACCTTCCAAGTCTTTGTCCCCAGTTTTGTTTCTGAGGGCTGGGTCTCCTCTGTTTGGGTATCCCCTTCATCTAACTAAAGGACTGCTGCTGCTTATTTTTCTTCTTGCTCATAGTAGGATAAAAAATCATCTTTTCCCCAGACATGGCTGCAGCTGGAATGGGCTAGGCACAGCCAGGAAGTCAGATCAGTCCTAGGCCCTAGCAGCAGCAGCAGCAGCGCGGCTCCTGCTGTTTGTTACCTCTCCCACGACTGCACTCTCGAGGTCTTTATTAATGTGTGCACATAGGGTGGGAATAGAGATGAGTAGGAGACAGGTGCATGGTGGAGAGAGGAATTAAACTTAGGCATGGTTATACTTCTTTAGTTTGAGGCTTTTGGCACCACTTGACAATCTTCCTCCAGTGTCTTTCTCCCATTCCTTGGGTAATTCATTCCAGTCTTTCAACACTTAGCTTACAGGACTCATCATTTAGACTGGGCTCTGACTTAAGTAATTAGAGGCTATAGGTATAAATTCTCTCAACTGCCATCTGTACCTGAAAACATATCTGTAATTTTTCATTCATAATTATTTTCTAAGGGAAAGGAGAGCAGTGTTGATGACTGAAGCTTTTGAGTGACTGCTTGAGAGTATTGGAAAGAGAAGCTAGGGCTGAATGAAAAGACTGTTAGGTCATGCTAAGAGTCAGCTGGCTTTAAGCATGTTATGTAATTTAAAAAGTAAGTTGGTACAGTAGTAGCAAGTTAATCATAAATGGTTAATGGAAAAGTAGTTGACCCCTGTTTTACTCGTGTTTGTTCAGTTAGACAGGTATGTATTTGTGTCCTGGCCTTTGATGTAAAATGTACTTCTTGTGGTTTGCAGATGAAAATGTTTGAAAGCCGTCTCCTAAATTTGAGAGCTCTTTTTCTTGTTTGACTTGTAAATTTGGTGTAACAAGCATTACTGTCCTTGATAATATTCTCCTTAGCAGTTATAACTGCACTTGACATTTGAGTTATTTACATGCTGGTGACTCCATCCACACCCTTCAGTTCCAGAACTATGCTACGTAAACACTATCTATTCTGGCTAAAATAGTTTTTCCTCATTTTGAGTAGTTATGTAGGAACTTGGGAATCATCTAGAATTTCTAATTTGTTCCCTCATTGTAACTTCAAACTTCTCTGAAATTTTTTTCAGCAAGTAAGTCTTACTCAGGTGTATCCTGTCCTTCCTATGTTACTATGGACTGGGTTTCTTCTGCACTGTTGAGTTATTCTTTTTCATCTAAATTCGCTAAAGTCGCTTGTGTACTGATTTATGTGCCTTGCTCTATCCTCTACCCTCATTTTTTGGATGTTGTGTTAATTCTCTAAATTCTTTAATATAATTTTAGTGGGGATTTAGACTGAGAAAGACATAAATTTTTGTCGCCATCAGCTGTGATGTTGGCCTGCTAGATTGAGGTAGAAATTTATAAGAACCTAAGAATTAACTTCTTGTGCTTCAGAAAGTGTAACATCCGATGGTTCCAGATATGTAAGGAAACATTCATTTACACAGAACAGACACTTTTAGAATATTGAGTCTTTCTTGCTTAGAACACAGAATGTCTCCATCTTTGATGTCTTTCAACAAATATACTCCTTCATTTAGATGTTGCACATTTCTCATTAATTTTCTCAGTATTTTACGTAGATGTAATTATATACATATAGATAGAAGGAAAGCTAAATATATTTTCTGCTATCTTTTGTAGCCTCCTATTCTTTTTTCTTTTAATTGGTAAACTTTGTACTTGCTATTGTCAGTTTCCTTATTTCTTGGTTGAGTTGGGGGTCCCCAAGATTAGCCTCAGGAACAGCAATTAACCAGAAGGACCCATAGGACTGAGAAAATTTGTTATATTGTGGTTGCATTTTATTATAGTTGAAGACATTGTAGTTGAAAGATACAGATTAAAATCAGCAAAGAGGAAAGGTACATGGTGCAGAGTCCAAAAGAAAGTGGACCCATGCTTCCAGATGTCCCAGCATCAATATGGGACAATACACTGGGTGTATTACCAAGCAGGGAATCTCATCTGAGCCTTGGTGTCTAGGTTTTGGAGATCAGTCTTACTGCCTTGCAGCCCCCACAGGACTGATAATCAGCTACCTGGACTTCAGTGCACCCAGAAGTCAAACTGAACATAGTATGGCCTAAAGCCCCAGGTCTACAAAATACTCTTATCAGGCAGAATTTTTCACATGCTCAGAGGTCATCTCCCAGGAGCCTGTAAAGGGCCAGTTCTGAAGACAGGCCTTTCTTAGGAATGTGTAGCATTTGAGCAACTCAGGCCTGCCAGGTAAACCCTTTCTTGCACACTAGTATATTCGTGTTCATTCTTCAAGACTCTATTAAAAGTGTTATCTTTTTGGTGAAAACTTAACTGATTCACTCTAAGAAGAGTTAGTTGCTCCCATATCTTTGTCCCTACAGTTACTTAAACTTAATTCTTTGTAGTTTTACATTATACACTTTCTCAAGAGGTTTTTAATTCATGCTTTCCTAAATTTGAAAATATTTTTCCTTTTCCCCTTTCTTTTTACTTTACTATTTCTTCCTTTGGTTTGCAAAATTGTTTTTATGTGTTTTCTTTGACCAAGATATTTTTATTTATTTTTATACAGTGTTTTCGATAAAATAAAGAGAAAACCTGTGATTAGAACAATATTTTAAATATCTAACACTAGTTATTTTAAAGCTTTATTTTATTTTAAAATTAGAGATGGAGTCTCACTATGTTGTCCAGGCTGGCCTCAAACTCCTGGGCTCAACTGATTGTCCCACTCCTTTGCAAAGTGTTGGGATTACAAGCATGAGCCACTTCACCCTTCTTTTAGAATGACATGCTTTATTTGTTTTCATTTTCCATCAGAATGACTATATATGGTGCTAGAGTTTGTGTGCTATGTGGGGACTCAGTTTATATCCCAGTCTTTGGTGCTTTCTGTAGTTGTGTACATTATAAAAAATTTTATACTAATCTAGAACCCTTCATGAAGGCATGGATTGTTCATTTATGCTGTATACTCAATTTCAGGGCTGACATATTAGTCAATTTATTTTGTTGACTCTGGTGCTATTTTTAGATCTTAAGCCTCTGTGTGTTATGTCAACAGTTTGTCCATTCTGATAGATTCTAGAACACTAGCAGGTGAAGGCACAGATGATCTTTCTTCTCATATTAGCATAAATTCAAGTGTCTGTATACCAAAAGTCAGAATTTATAAGATGATAGATTGTATATTTGTGTTCTGTTGCTGCTGTGACAAAATTATCACAAACTTGGTGTCTTAAAACAGCATGTGTCCAAAAAAAAAGACATTCAATTTTGGGGGAGGGAAAATAAAGGAAAAACAGCATGTGTCTTACTGTTTTACCATTATGGAGGCTAGCAGTTTGAAATCCCTTTCACTGGGCTCAAGTCAAAAGTGTTGGCAGAACCGGTTCCTTCTGGTGGCTCTGGGAGAGAATCCATTTCCTTGTCTGTTTAAGTTTTTTGTGGTTTTGGCTACTGGCTTCTTCATCTTCAAAGCACATCAGTCCAGTCCCTGTGTCCATTATTATTATAATTGCCTTCCAGTCTTCTATAGTCTTATCTTCCTCTTCCTCCCTCTGATAAGGTCACTTGATCACCTTTAGGACCCGCTGGACAAACCTTCTCAAAAGCCTTAATCCCATCTGTAAAATCCCTTTTGCCATGTAAAGTAATATTCATAGTTTCCAAAGATTAGGATCTGGATTTCTTTTGGGGCAATTATGCAGCTAACCACATATTGTAATAAGGAAGCACTTTTTGGGAGGCATCATAATACTTGTTTTCTTTTCCTAAATTGCGTTATCACTTTTACCCCAAAGAACTAACCCACTGGGTTATTTTACTGAGCTCTTGATGCTCATTTCTTTGGTCTTCTCTGTGATGAATGAATGTTTTCATATGGACATCATGCACAATTTCTTTGTTTGTTCCTGAAGAATATTTTAAAATGTTGTTATTTTATGTTGTAGTTGGTGTAATACGGTGCCCAGTATGCCGCCAAGAATGCAGACAGATAGACCTTGTGGATAATTATTTTGTGAAAGACACATCTGAAGCTCCTAGCAGTTCTGATGAAAAATCAGAACAGGTATGCTTCTCAGTTTTTCTTTATATTCCTATCTTGATATCAAAGTATGAATTTTAAGAAAAGCATGTTTGGTTAGTTAAGTAATTTAGGGTGGTTCTGGTAATGGATTCCTGTTTCAAATAGAAAGTTAAAGATAACTTTCTTACACATTTTCAATCTTAGTTAAATGAGACTAAGGTCATTACTTAATATGTCAAATCTGGGCCAGGCATGGTGGCTCACGCCTGTTATAGCACTTTGGGAGGCTGAGGTGTGAGGATTACTTGAGCCCTGGAGTTGGAGACCGGCCTGGGCAACATAGCAAGATCCCATCTCTACAAAAAATAAAAAAAATTAGCCGGGCGTGGTGGTGTGCACCTTTAATCCCAGCTACTCGGGAGGCTGAGGTGGGAGGATTGCTTGAGTCCAGGAAGTTGAGGCTGCAGTGAGCCATGGTGGAACTACTGCCGTTCCAGCCTGGGTGACAGAGCCAGAGCCTGCCTCAAAAAATAAATTAAAAAAAAAAAAAAAAAAAAGTCAAATCTGCACAGACTTTGTGTTCTGAGCCTTAGATTTTTTTTTTTTTTAAAGACGGAGTTTCGCTCTTGTTACCCAGGATGGAGTGCAATGGGGAGATCTCGGCTCACCGCAACCTCCGCCTCCTGGGTTCAGACATTTCTCCTGCCTCAGCCTCCTGAGTAGCTGGGATTACAGGCATGCACCACCATGCCCGGCTAATTTTTTGTATTTTTAGTAGAGACGGGGTTTCACCATGTTGACCAGGATGGTCTCGATCTCTTGACCTCGTGATCCACCCACCTCGGCCTCCCAAAGTGCTGGGATTACAGGCTTGAGCCACCGCGCCCGGCCCCTGAGCCTTAGATTTTTACCTACATGAATGATCTGTAAGGAAAAGGATTTTGTTGAAGATAAATGGATAATAAAATTATTTTATTCTGTATACAGTGAAATAGACAGTATATTTAAGAACAAGTTTTTTCTTTTTATTTTTTGGACCTACATTTTATATATTTAATTTAGATTAGTGCTTATTTCCTTTTTTAGGTATGTACTAGTTGTGAAGACAATGCAAGTGCAGTTGGCTTTTGTGTAGAATGTGGAGAGTGGCTGTGTAAGACATGTATTGAAGCACATCAAAGAGTAAAATTTACTAAAGATCACTTGATCAGGAAGAAAGAAGATGTCTCAGGTAAGATAGATGCAGTTGTAATAATTACAGTTTTTTTTGCCCCTGTAGCATTTTCTGCTTATTCTTTATAAGCTTTGGATGTCAACATCAATAGCAATTTAGAAAACTAGACAAAAATTTCATGTTTAGTTAAAAAATATTTGTTTTATTTTGCTACAGAGTCTGTTGGAGCATCTGGTCAACGCCCTGTTTTCTGCCCTGTACACAAACAAGAGCAGTTGAAACTTTTCTGTGAAACATGTGATAGACTGACATGTAGAGACTGTCAGCTATTGGAACACAAAGAACATAGGTACAGAAATCCTAATTGCTTACCAAGAAATACTATAAGTGCTTGTAAAATCATTCTTCTTCTTAAAACAGATATTGATTTTATAAGTTTGTCTCTTAATCTTTTAAATCTAAATTTTATATATTTTAATTTCTCGAAGCAGTATATGTTTTGGTATTTAATGATTTCCATATTTATATCTAATTGTCTTATGAATATTTGTTAAAATATGTCAGTTTGGGCTTACAAGAATGGAGTTGTATTATTCATTTGTTTCCTATTCCTGTGATTTAAATAAGCTTTTACTTAGTGTCCTATAGTATTTTGGCTGCAGTCTACAAAAGCAGTATTCCCATGGGTATAGCTGATACTCTTAACATCAAAGTATAAATACACTGATTTCATGTTACATGTAAAATTTGTGGAAAAACTAGAGACTTACGAACAACTAAGCAGAGTTACTGACCCTTTAATTACTGACCTTTGTATTTTAACCTTGTACCCTCAGAATTCAGTAATATTCATTTATTGTCAGTGTGTTTGAACTGTTTGGGAACTGTACTAAAATTTCTAGTCAGTTGTGTAACAGTGTTCTTCAGCTTCCATAGCATCTATTTATTACACGTAAAAGATGGTCTTGCTTACCCCTAGTTCAGAATTTTCCAACTGTTTCTCAAACAACCGTTTGTATGGATGAATGGGAGTAGATCTTATTAATCTATTGCCAAAAAACTTTAAGAGAACTTGAGTTAAGCACACTTAAATGTATTTCTTAACTGTATGATTTCTTAGAGTTTTTAATTTACTAGAATTCATTGAAGTTTATTAGAGTCTTCTTAAAGTGGGGATACAGTAATCCTAATTGCCAACAATTATTGCATCCTTCCTTTGTGCCAGGTACTTTTCTGATTGCTGAATATGTATTTAATTCATACCAATTACCCATGGAGTTTAGGTATTGGTATTATGACTGTTTTAAATGTGAGAGAGCCTATTCACAGAAACCCATAGTAATCTGTACAAAGTCTCATACTAAGTGGTAGAACTAGAATTTGAACACAGGTAGTCAGACTCCAGATCTCTTCTTAACACATATGCTCATTTTCTTCCATAGGGTATAGAGAATATAGAATGTAGAATGTCTCAAATTTGACTGTATGAAGGTAGTGCTTTTTGTTCTTTTTCAAGGCATCTCTCACAGCTTTACAATATATTTATAAAATTTTTGTACTCTTAATTTGTTCAGAAATGTCTTAACCTATAACTTGGCTGAAATTTTAGATTGTCTTCTAACAGTTTCAGTAAGACATTAGATTACCTTTTTCACAGCTGCAGTCAGATCTTTTTTTGAGTGTTAGATTTCTTATAGCATTTTAAGTTGACAGTGAGAGGCAAAAAGAAAAGGAAGATGTCATACTTTTCCTCATTAAAAAATAGCTTCAGCTGCATTGCCACTTCAAAGTGTAACCATTATTCTTCCCTTATTTCACCATCTTCCTTTACCACTTATATCTGAGTCCCTATTATCTCTTGTATAATAAAAAACAACAGTTTTTTTCTCTTCCTATATTCACACAACACAGAGCACTTCTGTGACCATGTTCCCTCATACTGACTGATTCTCTGATGCCAGCTTGGTGTCCAGTAATTCCTTACAATTCTGTCACTATCTATCTGGAGTTAGAGTCAGGTCCCACAAATTAAGGGCTCAGTCCTGCAGACCACTATTCCACTTCAAATACCAGTCATAAGTCCCACCTTCTGGTAATTAAAAACAAACAAAAAAGAAATATATATATATGTATATGTATAATAATTATTATTATTTTTTAAAGGACAGAATTCTTGCTCTTTCTCCCAGGCTGGAATGCAATGACAGGATCATAGCTCACTGCAGCCTCAAATCCCTGGCCTAGAGTTGTCCTCCCTCCTCAGCCTCCCAAAGTGCTGAGATTACAGTTGTGAGCCTTTGAGCTTGACCCTTGGCCTCTGGTATTCTGACTAACTTACTGTAAATTGGGGGTGGGATGGGGAGGGTTCTCATCACCCCTTCCTTGAGTTTGATCATTTTCTGGAATGGGTCACAGAGCTCAAGGAGTCATTTAACTTACTACTGCCAATTTATTACAAATTACAGCAGTTACAACAATTTAGTTTACAGGTCTTAATTGGTTTTATTTGTGATTTTAGATTTGAGCAATACTTCATTTCATAAAATAAAACAGGTATTTCAGTGAACTGAGCAGAGGAGGTTGATTTTATAGACAGAGAGAGACTGAATAAAGCAAAAACAAAGAATAAAATAGATTGGTCATTTCAAAGTTACCTTCCTAGTAAGGCTGGAGCAGGGCAGAATAGAGAAATAAGTGATTGTTTAACATCAGATTACCTCAGGTTACCTTTTGTTGTAAGGATTAAAGACATCAGCACCTTAGGAGAGGTTTACCAAAAAAAATAAAAAAGTTAAAGACAGGAAATCTCATTATCATGCCAATTGAAACTGCCTTATTTGGGAAATTAGATTGTTATCTCTCTCCTGATACCTTGAATGGTCTGATAACTCATTTTTAGTTTGATGAACTCAGCATGAGAGACTCCATTTTGATTTTTTTTTTTTCCATTTCAGCAGTTTCAGCGAAAGTTTGTATATAAGATTACTTTATTCCTGCATCTTCTCAATTGTTTCTTTCGTGTATTTGGCCTTTTCCTTTCTTTCTTGGTGAGATTTGACTTCCTGTTCAAAGATCTTTTTGTGGTCTTTGTCCAGTTTTAGCTTGGTGATAACCACCATGCTGGGGTGAATGCCATTAGCTTTTCCACTCTACCTGTTCAGTGTTGATGATATATTTCTTCCTGTAAACCTAGATTAAACCACCAGTTTGCTGACCTTTATAGTGTCCTCACACAACGTGAACTTTATCATCCTTTTGGATGGGCATGGATTGAACCTTGTACTTCTGTCTCAGCTCTTTGGAAAGAGGGAAGACAAAATCTTCCTATGAAAGTGGGAAGGTGCTTTGAAACAACTTTTGTGGTTCTTGCTTCAGTCAGAAGTCACAAAGGGATTAAACTTCATTTTGGCCACTCTTGCTTCAGCAATGTCCACAAAAGGGAAGAGAACTATATCCTGCTTCTGGTTCTGTCTCTCTTTTGATTTTTAGTCTGATCTGTTTGGAGCTTAGTCCAAAACAATGTTCTCTTGTAATTTTTCTTTATATATAAGTATGGAGAGAGAGAGAGAGAGAGCGCGCGCACGAGAGTGTTAGCGAGTTTTTCTTATTTTTTGAAGAGATGGGGTCTCTGTTGCTTAGGCTTGACTCAAGCTCTTGGGCTCAAGTGATTCTCCCACCTCAGTGTCTCTCGCATAGTTGGGACTAGGGATGTGTAATGCTGTGTCCCACTGTCTCCCACTTGACAATATTTTATTTAATTTTTAAAAAGAGAGTAGGTCTTGCTGTGTGGTCCAGGCTGGATTTAAGTCTTGGGATCAAATATCGTCTTGCCTAAGCCTCCGCAGTAACTGAGATTACAGATGTGCCTCACCATGCCCAGCTCAACAACAATGAAGCAGCAATCCTTGCTGTTCTATAGCCCCCATGGGTGATTCCCAGACAAACAGGATCTGGAGTGGCCCTCCAGCAGTCCTGCAGCAGAGGGACCTATTAGAAGGAAAACTAAAAAACAGAAATAGCTTCAACATCAGCAGAAAGGATGTCCACTCAGAGACCCCATCCGAAAGTTACCAGACCAAAGGTAGATAAATCCAAGAAGATGGGAAGAAAGCAGTGCAAAAAGGCTGAAGTCACCAAAAACCAGAATGCAGTTTCTCCTCCAAGGGATCACAACTCCTCACCAGCAAGGGAACAAAACTAGATGGAGAATGAGTTTGACAAATTGACAGAAGCAGCCTTCAGAAGGTGGGTAATAACAAACTTCTCTGAGCTAAAGGACAGTGTTCTAACCCTATGCAAAGAAACTAAGAACCTTGAAAAAAGGTTAGACAAAATGCTAACTAGAATAACCAGCTTTGAGAAGAACATAAACGACTTGATGGAGCTGAAAACCACAGCACAAAAACTTCTTGAAGCATACACAAGTTTCAATAGCCAAGTTGATCAAGTAGAAGAAAGGATATTAGAGATTGAAGATCAACTCAATGAAATAAAATGAGAAGGCAAGATTAGAGAAAAAAGAGTGAAAAGAAGTGAACAAAGCCTCCAAGAAATATGAGGTTTTGTGAAAAGACCTAATCTGTGTTTTATTGGTGTACCTAAATGTGATGGGGAGAATGAAACCAAGTTGGAAAACACTCTTCAAGATGTTATCCAGGAGAACTTCCCCAACCTAGCAGAGCAGGCCAACATTCAAATCCAGGAAATACAGAGAGATACTCCTCAAGAAGAGCAACCCCAAGGCACATAATCATCAGATTTACCAGGGTTGAAACTAAGGAAAAAACGCTAAGAGCAGCCAGAGAGAAAGGTTGACTTACCCACAAAGGGAAGCCCATCAGTCTCAGGGTACAAAATCAATGTGCAAAAATCACAAACATTCCTGTACACCAGCAACAGACAGCCAGCCAAATCATGAGCAAACTCCCATTCACAATTGCTACAAAGAGAATAAAATACCTAGGAATACAACTAACAAGGAAGGTGAAGGACCTCTTCAAGGAGGACTACAAACCACTGCTCAAGGAAATAAGAGAGGACACAAACAGATGGAAAAACATTCCATGCTCATGCTTAGGAAGAATCAATCATGAAAATGGCCACACTGCCCAAAGTAATTTATAGATTCAGTGCTATCCCCATCAAGCTACCATTCACCTTCACAGAACTGGAAAAAAACCACCTGAAACTTCACATGGATCCAAAAAAGAGCCCACATAGTCAAGACAATCCTAAGGAAAAAAAAAAACAAATTGAGGCACCACGCTATCTGACCTCAAAGTATACTACAAGGCTACAGTAATCAAATCAGCATGGTAGTGGTACCAAAACAGATACAGACCAATGGAA